TATTCTGATGTCCTCAGAAATTTGATGGCTAGTGGTCAAGGGCACTGTGGCCAACAGTGCAATCTACAAAGTCAGTAGAGGTCAAGAGTATGGGTTTAGGGTCGAGTTCTGGCTTTGCCATGGGCTGGCTGTGTGACCTGGCACAAGTGACTGCACCTGTCTGAGCCTTGGTTTCCTTATCAGGAAAACCGGGTGCTATGCAGAGAAAGTGAATTACTTGATGTAAAGACCGTAGCCTGAGGCCAGCCCCACCTGGAGTGCTCAGCAGAGGCTGACCAACATGATGATGATAAAACTCAGGCTTGGCATAGAAGGAGGCCACCTCCCCCAATTAAGCTGATTCTATAGGGTTGAAATTGACTTCCGTTCCTCCAGCCACATTCTCTTGTCCGGTTTCTCTTTAACTGTAGACGCTCACTGTGAGACGTCTAGGTAGAACCTGGATAGAACCCTGTGGCCAGTGCTGTGTGACCCTGGGCAAGCTGCTTCACCTCTCTGAGCTTTAGTTCCTTCTTATATAAACGGGGGCTAAAACTACAGGTGCTACTTAGGGAGCTGAATTCATGCAAGCTCTGAAGAGTTGACTACTGTGAAGGTACTCTTGTAAGTAACCAAGGGCCCTGTGAGTGGATGAGAAGTTATCAGAGCACAGGGCGAGGCTGACCAGCTAGTCCAGATGGATGCTGGACCGGAGACCTTGGCCTCTTTAGAACCCTCCTTCAGGGCAGCAAGCTGAGCAACCTGGATATCCTCTGACATGCAGCATTTTAAAGTGACCGCTCCCAAGTACAGAAGGTCCCCAAATCACCACCTTCTTTCCTGACCATCCCTCACCTGCTGCCACCGCCTGCCAGGGCCACCTCCCCCTGGGATGAAGGGATGAGACTGTGTCTAAAGTAAATATCACTTCTCTCCATAAATAAGGGCCAGCACGCCGAACAACAGGATTAGGGGTGCCCCATGAGGGAAAGGGATTAGACAGAGCAGGGGAATAAGTCCACAGCCAAGAGAAAAGAAGGCCGGAGGAAGGAAATGAGGCCAAGAGGGCAGAAGAGTCAAGGTCGCTGCTGAGAGCCAGTGATGGCCCAGCCTCTGCTCGGACCCAGAAGCCGCGGACACTGAGTGTGACCTGGATGTGGGGCTCTGGGCCTGGCAGGCAGCTGGCCTCATTGTCATCTAACATCTGGGATGCCAGTCTGACCCCACCCCAAAAAGCAGCCTGGATGGAGTGGCCCCTGGGAGGATTGGGACACTGATTCGTAACGAGACACTTATTTCAGCCGTTGAGCAGACAGTTGGCAATTTGTGGGAGCGCTTTTGTGGTTGTTACGGTGATGGCAAATGCTCTTGGCATCACAGCGGGAGGGAGGTGGCATGGGGGGTTAGGGGCCTCCTGCAATACCAGCGACAAACCCACTCAAGGAAAAAGGATCCAGACTGCCACACAAACTTTGGACACCCACTAAGATAAAAAAGCGTGCTTAAATTTCTCAGCCAAGATCTCAATTTGGGCTTATGTATAAATTTGGCTTTAAATTATACTGAACTTTCCATGCATGCAACTGTTGGGTAAATCAAAGAAAGACAGGACATCGTTTTATCAGGAATCATTCACCATGTTGGAAAATCACATCACCAAGGTGACGTTGCAGGTGGCATTTGAGTTGCCAACACAACACACCTGTGTCAATCTGCATTTGACGTCGTCGTGTTTCCAGCAAGTCTATCTTTAGGTGCAAACATGTGACACTCCGGTGGAGCCATGCCTGTGCACTGATATATTAAATTATAGGCTCTTTTATTATAAATGACTTTTATGCTCTATCTCCTTTATTTTATAGTTAGGGCGCTATATTGATTTACAAAATGTAAAGTGCGGGTAGGTATTATGCTCCATGAATGAGCTTCTGGTTAGTGAAGGGGACGTTTAAAAATATTTGTTAAAAAAAGGTGGGGGGAGCTTCACATCTAGCCATTGAGCTGGGGGAATACATGCTATTACACAGTAGTACTCAACCTTAGAACCATTCATCTTAGTGGGTTTCGTGGAGGCATGTGCTTGTCCTGGGTCACTTTCTCCCAAATCATACCTCCACCAAAGCAGTTTTTTCGGCTACTTTTGGTCAATCACACTGCACGTGAGACCGATGTGGGCTCCCTGGATGGAGGACCCTGAATGGACGAGGGCAGCTGAGAGCTCAGATGTAACCTCCTGAGGTGGTAAAATAGGTCTGCGGGAGCAGGGCCCCACAGCAGACCGCTGTGTCCCTCCCTCAATCTTGGGGACACAAGGTTGCTTCCCTGAGATGGTGTTTGGAGAAGCCCCTTGGGGCTTGGCTACAAAGAGGGCTCGCATTAAAGTTCGTTACACTCGATGATCTCATCTCAGTCTGGTGTCCTGTCTCTGGCCTCTTCCAGCCGACAGTCCTGTCTTCGGATTGTCAGCTGGGAGAGGCGGTCACGTTGGCTCCTTGGATGGAGGGCCCAGCTCCCAGTGATAGGAGGGACTTCTCCACATCACACCTGGTGATTCAGGCTCCCGGGGCCAGGGTGGGACTGAAATAGAGCCCCCCGAGGTTTGAGGCTCACACCTCACGCCCACCCTGTGCCCAGCTGAGAATCAGAACCAAGTACTGGGACATTAGTACAGGGGCTCAGCTGCCCCACGTGGTGAGATGGCCCCATTTACCGCCCTGCTGCCCCTCCTGGGAGAGGTGGTGCTGAGGATGGGGGGCATGTATAGGATTAGCGGGGGGAAGGCCGTGCCCAGGAGCCTCTGAGGACAGACACTTCCAATGCCTCCTGGAAACCAAGGCCAGTGATTGCTTCTGGACTATACAGCTGCCTTAGAATTTAAGTCCACGGAGCAAGACTTGGGGGGCCTGCTCGCTGCCCAGAAGCTATCTCAAGGCTCAACACGTCATCTCCACTGGGTGTGTTGCTGTAGGGACCCCTGGGAGGTGGCTGCTCTGAGGGCTGGATTCTAGCCTGGGGGACCTCCCTAGTTGAGGGAGAATCAGGCACCAGGTCCCTGCCACCAGGAGAACCCTGAGGACTGATCCTGGCCCCCAGCTCTGGAAATGGACAGCAGGGCACTGGGGGCTCCCAACTCTGCCCACACCATGGCCTGTGTTTTGGGCCCAAGACTCGCTGTCTCTTGTGGAGACAGGACCCAAGGTGTGGGAAAGGCTCCAGGGTGTGTGCAGGGGACTCACAGGAGTGAGAAGGGGTGGTTGGGAGGGCGGGGGCTGGACGGGCAGCAGGTGCCCTCTCTCTCCCCTCTGCCCAAGCCTTCTGACAGAGCCTCCACCTTCCTACTTGGGGTCCTGCTGGCACTGGTTCAGTTTTTGCCCTGGTGCCAGATGCTGGAAAAGCCCCAGGATGCAATGGTGGCCGGGGTGGGCTCCACGGACTGAGGGGCCTACCAATGGGTATTTTGGGGGCCACCCCACCAGGAAGGAGGACTGGATCCCATGCAGTTCCTCAAATGTGTCAGGTACACCTGACCACAGGACCTTGGCACCTGCCGCTCCCTCTGCCAGGAACACCCCTCCCCCATGAAGCTGCAAGCCTCCCCTCTCCCCCTTCCTCTGGGTCTTCCCATGTTGCCTTCCTAGTGAGACCCACCAGCTTCCGATCTGAAATGTCACCCTCCCCAACACTTCCTAACCCCTTCCCCGCTCTATTTATCTACTTAGCACGTATGACGAACGGTCTACGTAGTTTACATCTTCATCTTCCCCACTGTACTGTAAGCTTCCAAAGGTCAGGGGGTTTGTCAATTTCATTCACTCTCAAGGTCAGAGGACTTGTCTATTCATTGCTCTATCCCAGGGCCAGAACAGTGTGGCACACAGTAGGTCCTCAAAAAACATTTGTTAAATGAATACATTCAGGGGCTTGGGGAGCTACTTTAATCCAGGCCCCCGAGGCACTTCCTGGTGACCTCTAAATGCCCTTGGGACACTCAGGGGTCCTTGAGGAGGGAGCTGGGAAATCTCAGCCTGGATTTCCGGGGGGCTCAGACCTGAGCCTCCCTCTGTAAGTAAGAAGGGTCTGCCTAGTAACACTGCGGGCTGTAGGGTCAGTGCTAGACCTTAGATGGGAGTGGAAGAAGGTGGAGAGAAACTTTTCTCTCTCTCCTGACTAGTTCCCGACCACCTGGTCCAGCTGCTGGCTCCTCGCCAGAGAAGGAGCTAGAATCACCCACCGTGTTGCCAGCTCTCCTTCCCCAGAGATTCAGAAAATGCCAATCTGGTAAATACAGAGGGGCTGGTACCCAGCTCCTCAAGTGCTAGCCTTGGCTCCCATATAACCTGAGCAATTCCAGTGTTTGGGGGCGTCAGGGCCAATTCTCTACTTTGCCTCCATTTCCTCCGTTTCAAAGCTTCCTTGCACTGGACGGGCCATCACCAGGGGAGAGCTAGTCTGGGCTGAGGGTTACCCAGCTCTCAGCTCTCAGCGCTTTCTCTCTCTCCCCAGAGCCTCGGCATCCACCCACGCCCAAGCCTGCCATGTACATGTGCCTGTCATCACCGGGTGACCTCCGGAAAGGCCCCTCCTCTCTGACCCTCTGTCTTCCCACTCGTGAAATGTGGATTGCAAAAATCCCCACCTTGTGGGGTTGCTGGAAGACAGGACCTCAGCTACCAGGACTATGAACTCTGGGTTTCACGGCAAGAGATACGTGCTAGACATTACGCCCACTGCATTCCTG